CACTGGCCTGGAACTCATCAAATAGGGTAGTTCTACCTGTCCAGCAAACTCTAGGGATCGACTTGTCTCTGCCTTCTCAGCACTAGTGTTTTAAATACACATCCCACCCCCACCCCCCAGTGCCTGGCCTTTTAAAAGTAGGTTCTGGAGAATCCAACTCTCGGGTCTTCATGCTCACAAGGCAAGAACTATTCTGACTGAACTACCTCCCCAGCCCACATATGCTTCTTATTCAACAAAAATTTCCTTCTCTAATTTTCCTATCCACTTCTAATGGCTAGAAATAAAGTATAAAACCTTTTGCATGAAAATGGCATGCAATCTGCCTGTTAACTCGGTAAGCATATAGTGGAAACAGAGCTCCTTAGCAATATGATTTGAGCTCACTCCCTCACGCCTGTCCTTATTATCTCTAAGTTCCTCTCCTTCTCCCTAAAATACTTTAGGATTTCTCCTGTATGCAGAAAAAATAACAGCACCATTTGCATTTCGGCACTTTTTCAAGGAGGTTTCCAGGTGCTAGATATAAGCAAAAGATCTTGTGTTTTTCCTTCGATCTAAATAGTCTGAATCTCAGTATTGCTCATGGGAACTGTTTCAAAGGCTGAAGTGTCAGAATCAGAAAGGAAAGAAATGTGTGGGTGGGAAGTTCTACGTGCAAACTTCTTTCCTTTCTAGACCTGAATATGCATGGATGCAGAAATTATAGCTTATTCCCAAGTTTTTATTGTCAGCATCAAACCTAAGAAAAATGTCAAGATGATAAGATTGGTGTATGTAGGTGAAAATGTTCAAAATACTTGATCATTCACTTCTCTTTCCCCCTCCTGTCTGTCTACCTGTCTGTCTGTCTGTCTGTCTGTCTCTTTTAACAAGCCATTTCATTATTTCATTGCCTATGAGTATACTTTTTGCTCCTGGGTATAAAATACATAGAAAAATCTCATTTATTCAAGTCCACTACTTTGAGATTTATAATCATTTAAAAATAGTAAAGGGAGAAACGTCTTCAGTGATTCCTTTATATACAGTAGTATATAAACATAATGACAGTAAGGAAGAAATCTTGAAATGGTTTTCATATCAAATTTAAAAGATACATTCATAAAGATATTTGCTCCAGAATTGTTTTTTAGTAACAGTAACAAAGGCAACCATTCATCAACAGGGGATTGGCTAAGCAAATTTCAGTCTATACAGACTACAAAATACTTTTCAGTTTTAAAGACATTACAACGTAAATTTAAACATGTTGACATATAAAATGTATATAAATTATGGAGGAAAAGAACAAGTTCCTGAATGCCACTTTGACAGATACAGTCCAACATTTGCCATGGATACTTAGGCATCATTATATATTGCATTGTCCCTATATGTACATACCTATCATAAGCTTTAATTTATAAATCAAGAACAAAGATTAACAGCAACAATAATGGAACAATTATAACCATATCTCACAATAAATGTAACTTCAAACTTAGGTATTTTTTCAGAAACTTCCTTTTAAATTCAACCTTCAGCTGAATATAAATAAATCAAAGAAAATGAAATCTTATGTGAGGGGGTTCATATAGGGAATTCTCATCGTACAGAAGTACATATGTATACATATACATATATGGGCATATGGATAACAGATATCAAAATCTCTGGATGGTGGATTTTGAACAGCATTTTACTTCATTCTGCTATAAACTAAAATCACATGTAAAGGGAAAAAGTACCTGAATTGAAGTACACAATCTTAGCAAGATGGAATTTGAGGCAGGACTATGAGTTATGAGACGGCCTGTACTGTACAGTGCAGCTCAGAGTCTCACAAGAAAAAAATCAGACAAACAAACATACGCACACAAACACACACACACAAAAGACATGTGCAACCAAAACTCTACCTGTGCATAAAGGTTCCTGGAATCTTCAAATAATCTCTCTTTACTTATAAACACTTGTGCTACTATATCCAATTACCCCCAAGACCCATGCAAAGCAAGAGTTAACACAGTTTGAACTTGTCTGGCAAACAGACGTGATTACCTATTTAAAAATACTTTATAATCTGAGCCATTTTAGCATTCTTATTTTAGTAGTTGTGTGCAGTGCACATACACAAACTGAATACAAAGTTCCCAGTTCCTTAGCTATGTAAAATCAATACCACCATCATATAGGATATGAGAAAGGTTTACCTGACTTGTAATCAATAACGTACTTAGAAATGTATACCTTATACATAGAGTGTTTCCTAGCAGTATATCTGATCAATAGTTGATTATGCTATAGACGTTTAATATAAATTAGGTGGCATGTGTAATTCCTATAAACCCTCCAGTTTTTGTTTATCCTTGAAAATTATTATCACCACACCAAAAGATAAAATAAATTATAAGTTTGGAAAACACAAAAAATCTTATCAATAGACTGTCATCATCTAAGCATTTGGCTATTTATTCATCATGTTGATTGAGTTTAATTATTACCGTTAGAAGCTATTTCAATGTCTGAACTAATTAATTAATTAAATACTTCAAACAGTATTTTTAAACACCCACTATCTTCCAGGAGCTGTTTCAGGCACTGGGATAGATCACGAAATATAAAAAGCATGCGTTAAAGAAGCTGTCACTCTCTTAGGGGGAGGCAATATACAGATATAAGCATATTCATTTATTCAAAAATAAAAAGTTCACCTACATAGAATTTATATTCTAGTGCACAGACACAAGCAGAACAGTTCGCCTTATTGTACCTGTCCCTTAATATCCTCCTTTCATATTGAACTTTAGATATGTTCAAGTATCTTATATAAAATTACATGGTAGTCACATATGAATGATGCAATCCTTCCCCACATA